TCTTGCTGCCTGAAAGCAGGTGGTGTTCTCCTTACCTGCTTATACCTAACATAAATGGTGCTGTGTGAATTTGGGAAGGTTTTCAAGTCAGGATAGGTGGGATTCCTCTCCGTTTTGATTCCCCCCCTCTCTTTTTCTGTTTTTCTTTTCCTCTGAGGAATATCCCCCAGTTCATACTGCCCTTTTTCCCTCGAACTGAACTTCTGCAAGATGCCACATTAGACTTTTTGCCAAAACCATTGCTGGCCTCCACATCCATGCTCACCACTTCTCCATTCCAGTGAGTGAAATGTGTCTAGGGGGCACTGGAGGATGTGGGATGCTGCTTCCATCGAGTAAGCTCTCTTTCACTCACCAGACTGGCTGCCTCCTGAGCTTTTAAGCCCGAGCCGGGACACTCACTTGGAATGCCTCTTGCATGTGCCATGAGGCCTGGTCAAAATATTCTCACACATACAGTTTTTGCCACTGCAATGGTAATGGTCAGAAGTCTTTACTTTCAGACTCTTCTTTGCTCTCTCCTTAATTTTCTCCAACCTTTTGGCTTGTGCCTGCAAGAGTGTGACACAGGCTTGGTCCTGTGGACACCCCTGTAGGTTCCCTCTCAGAGGCTAGCCATTCTACGTTTGATTTTCAATCTTTCTCTCCCCTCCCACTGGACTGGAGATCATTTAACTTGGTCCAATTAAAGTTAAAACTAGAGGGCAGAGACAGCTGAGAAAAGCCACTTCCTTATACACCAACTGTCTTGAATCCTTCTTCAGGGTCACTAGCCTGAAACCTCTAAAACTTGCAAAACAAGTTACCTGCTAAAAGTTCCTGCTGACCATAGCCATTTAAACCCTGTCACAACCAGACTCTGCTCCCTAGTGTGTACCCCAACAAACTTCTATTCATCTTTAACTCCTCCTGTGTGTTTTTTCCTCACTTAAAACCATAGATCGGGGGCTGGGAAAGTGGTTGAGTGGTAGAGTGCTTGCCTTGCATGCATGAGGCCCTGGGTTCAATTCCTCAGCACTACATAAGCAAAAAGAAAAAAAGATGGAAGTGGTGCTGTGGCTCAAGTGGTAGAGCGCTAGCTTGAGCTGAAGAGCTGAGGGACAGCGCCCAGGCCCAGAGTTCAGGCCCCATGACCGGAACCCAAAAAAAAACAAAAAAAACCCCAAAAAACCGTTTATGTGGTGCGGAACCCAGGAAGATGGTACTGCTTCACTTTGCTCCAAGGCGATCAACTGGCACTGCCCCTTCTCAGCCTCTCTCTTCCCTTGCTCCTCTCTTGAGACCTCCTCAATCAGGAGCACAGAACCTGCTGAGCTTACTTTGGGCTAAATAGCCACCTGGAAAGACTTCATGGCCTTTGCCTCTGTAAGCTGTGCATATGTTTTGGATGGCCACCTAGTGGCTTGGGATATCATTGGCTATCTCTGTAAACCCACCTGAAGCCTCTACCTCTATTTCTCTCTTTCTCTCCCTCTATCCTTTGTCTGACCCAGGACCTCAGCCTGGCCTTCTGTGCACCC